AACCCACGTGATGCTGAAAGCTAGCCGTTTATTGGACTAGGGCCGCGTCACGTGTTTTGTTTATCAGAATGGGCTTTCGGTTTGCAACCGAAGCTTCGCTTTTGGCGATTCCTTGCGGAGAACGGAACGCGAGGGGAAAGGTCTATATCTTCGATTGCGGAACCATTCTTACTACTTGGTCAGCGATTGAATCAGGGCTGTCGTAATGTTGTCCAACGGTGATTTGTGGAAGTATCGATCCCGCTCGGGATTTATGGCCAGATGAAATAATGTTTACGACCTCACGTCAATGCCGCGGATAGCGCGTGGAGTAGTTTGCGTCTTGTAATTACGTCAGGAAAAGACTCAGATCGAAAAGAAATGGAAAGAAGAGGGGGAAAGTGATCCCAGATGTTTTAATTTTAATATCAGGTTGTGATAGCAGCACCGTGGAATTAAATGTTATATTGCTGTCCGGTGATTAGTTTTGGAACAAACACTATAGTTTGTTGTCAGAAACGGGTGTCCGGTCATTTTGTCCGTGATAGAAGGTAAGGCCTATATATTTGGATCGAAAAGTTAGAAAGTGAAATGTCCCAGTTTTTTTCTCCGGGGAAAATGTGTTGACGTGGTAATAAATTTAATAAAATGGAATCAAAGACATAATTTAGCGTCTCTTTACGCCACAACTAAAAATAGAGATATTCAATGTTAATCTCATTAAGAAAGGGCTGAACCTTTTTCTTTGAATTGGATTTTCATCGTAAATCACCATGACGTGTATTGGTGATTCTGAAGTAGAATATAATTGTCTCGACAAATATTGTACATTGGATTACACAAATTTGATTGAGATTTATCAGAAGTATTGTCTCTCATTTCTTAGCAATAGAATGCCATCTAATATTGTTTCGAAGCGGAAATGCAACAATGCCTCAATTTTTAGTTCAGTTCCAACGTGCCCGAACCCCATGACTTGTGCATGTGAGCCTAATCTTGCACGGGCGCGTGGCTTCACCAAGAACGCGCAAATCACCCCAAATTAACCTGAAAAGACATCCGCAGGGTAGTCTCGAGCTATATGGAACAATTCAGAACAATTTCAAGGCTGAAGGGTCATTGTAAATTTTAATTTTCCAGAAATATGACGCCCGCTTGTCCTAAATGGCAATCTGATCGAATTAAATTGATCGAATCAAAACCAATTGAAAATGTGAAGCACCGCGCTTGTCTGCGTTCGCTTGGTAATAAAAAGAATTCACATCAATGCTAAGGCGAATGTTCCATATATGGGACTGTGTTTTTTTGCGATCAAGGAGTTAAGAAGTGCAGACACTAACGCGCGCATTATTAAGAAGGCATTGACTTGGTGTACACTGAACATTTCTGCCTAAAGACCTGCTCTCGTTGATAAACTTATCTGAAACGGATTTTAAAGCGTGTTAAAACTGATGTCACTGCCATGCTATCTCTAAATATGTGCAGTAAGCGTGTATGGACATAAAGCTAACTTGAATGCACCTAAAGTCCAACACCATTTTTAACGCAGTCTTACAGCTTGATAAATCTCTGGTATCAAAAATGTTACACACGTGCCAACCCCAGTGTATTATGATCTTTCCGGTTTATCTCGATCTGCCGGACACATTTTAAGCCGCAGATTAGATAAATTAAGCACTATAATAGTAGATGGAATGATGCTCTTTCTGTCCCAACACAAAAAGTACAAATCTGCGCGCCCTACCGCCCAATGGCAGCCATTTTGAAAATTTTGAAAATTCCTTTTTATTCTACCTATATTTTTTCAAAGGACAAATCTGCAATGTCCTTATTGCCAAATATCTTCTTCTTTTTTTAGACATACTCTTACTGTGTGCTTAATGCCATGCTTGTATCATCAAAGGCACAATTCCCCCAAATATGGGCCTTATCTGCCCCGCTAATATTGGAAGTCGGTAGTGGGCTCATTGGGTTGAGTTCCTAAGTCTGACTCCTGAATGCTTGGTGAAAACCCATAAATATTTGTTGTAATATCCTGGGTTTTTTTTTTTTTTACCCTTTACGAGACTATGGTAGGTCTATATTGAAAACTTATATAAGATACTTAATATCTGACACATTTATTAAGTTGTCTTTAACATTATCAATTGCGTAATTTGAAAATCGGTTGTAGGAAAAATCATTTATTCCAGAGAAAATTAATCATTGACAGATAATATCTACAATGTATATTATGAAGCGCTTTGAGACATTTGGTTTAAAGCGCTATATAAGCCCCACATTATTATTATTATTATCATTATTATTATTATTGTAATTATAATAATATCTACCAATGATCTCTAAATCCTGGCTGGTTGAAAATGGGGAGCGTGAGGTTTAAATCTATATAGATTTGAACCAAATTTCTCCAAACTTTCGACATTCGATCTCAGCGAAACCATTCTTATTATTGTTGTATTCAAAGGATGAATACAAGACAAGACGACTATTAAGAGTGAAATTAATTAGATCATATAGATCGAGCATTCTCTGAGTTTCCACTGATTAAGAAGTGATCCATTTTCAAAGTAGTTTGGGGCCCCAGCAGGCCAGACATTAACTGCAACGGTGCAGTTTAAACCACCTGTACTTTCCTCACCCTCAGATGATTTATCAAGACTAAAACGATATCAGACTTCAGTGTTCGTGCCAACCACGCTGGTAACTTCTATAGCCACCGGTTTAATCCTGGCTATTGTAGGAAATCGATGTGGTAAATGGCAAAAATGACTGGTCAAAATGCCGGCAGCATTCACATAAGTGATTGGATGGACCACTTTGGAATTTAATGCAATACGTATATGCTTTAAACGAATTGCTCCTATATGTTATATTATCCACAATGGTACTGTGAAAGGCGGGGCTCAATATTTTATACAACTCAATTAGAAACAGGTTATATTCATTGCAGCGTTCTTTTCTTTAATAAATGGATTTTTTTATCTTCACTTAAGACAGCTGAGAAATATAGGGCCTATCTACGTCGCTATTAAAATGTGTCGATTTCATTTCTGTATTTCTATTTGAGTGATGATATTGTCATTCTGATAAAAACCCACTTTTTAGATAATTCCAAATTGTCGTAGCGGGCTTTTAAGTCCGAGCAGTCATGACTAATACGCCGTGTCGATTTCGCTGTTATGTGAAGACACGCTCCGTATTAGAAAAGTTGTTGGGTAATGAGGTTGTAGCATTTCGTGATCACGGTTCGTTTTTAATTCGCAGACTAAGTCTGGTACCCGCAGTACTATGTAAACATTGACGGGGTACCTGCGGAATTAGCTCTACCATGAACATATGTCCTAGTCTGGTTACCTTATCCGACAATCCCCTGACGTCATTGAATATGTCTTAGCTGAGGTAGTTGTTAAAGGGCCATGTAATGTAATTTGTTTTAATGCAATCCTTGAAAATGCACCTTTGTGTTGCATTTAAGATTTTTTCTTCAATTTTACTTTTTGCCATTTTGAAAGGGTTTTTTAGTGCCTTTTTGGTTTTTATTCTAATGCCAATTTCCATATTCATGAGCAAAAGTGTGAAAAATGTTACAGCTATTTTACCACCAACAGTTGCCAGAATATCAGATAGGCCCTATCTTGCTGTCGTAAATTGTCTGTTCTTTGGTGATTCTTTGTTGTTGAGTACACGAGCGTAAGCTAATGAGCACCATTTCTCACATGTGTTTTCAATAAGCAAATTTTGGGGCTTACATTATTTGAACCAAAACCCCTAAACTGAACAATGTCTTTCTAAATTGACATCGCAGTAACAGCGCCCTCAGTTGTCAGGAAAAACATGGACAATTTTATATGTTTAAAGACGTGCACTTAAAGGGATGTAAATTAGTTTTCATACATTTAAGAGGAGTGCAAAGTTGCACAAAATGTTCTTATTTTAAAGTAAACTTTATGTCATAATCCCTGTATCTTCCAAAAATAGAACGTGACGAGGCAAAGCCCTCCCGCATCCCAAGTGCAAAAACCGTCGAGACACAACCGCACAGCGCATGGGCTTTAAATATAGATTACGCAAAAATTCAGGCATCGGACTTCGAAAATGCCAGTTTGTACTCAATTAGCTGTCAGCTTGTACTGAATGTGGAGAAGCAAGGTGCCTTGCCCAAGGACACACGCATCACGAACCAGGTTGGACTTGAACCCACAACCTGCATCATGCATTAATTGCAGGCTGTGGGCAGATAGATCCACACCTCTGAATTCAATCTTTGGTGGAATCAGTATTTCCAAAATTGAAATGTTTTCGTTCTCAGGGCCAAAGGTCAAATGCATTATTCACACACGGCAGTCGGTTGTCCTACGGGATGTTGGAATCTAGGGGTGCATACCCCCTGCGGAATCTGAGGCACGTCCGCTCATTTCACAGTGTATTGTTTAATCATAATACAAATTGGATTCAGGTATTGTATTACAATACTGATTATGCCAGCCCATTTCGTGCTGTTACAAATGCATCGAAGGCGAACCTCAGAACAAACTTCCGACATTGGAACAAATATACATTGTGAAACGAAAGACAACAATTCAAGCGGATGTGTGTTCACACAACCAGACGGAATTAAGCACACATTTTCTGAACTGAAGTCTTTGCTTTCGTCCATTATAATTAAGTATGTAATATTTGCAGAATATTATACAGATGCTGACCCCAAGCAAGCAAGTTAACTTCTGTTTTTTTTAACACAAACTCTCGGACCAACGCTGAGTACACAATGCTCTCAAGAGAATAATGCGCTAAGAAACAAAACCCAGTATATGTATTAGAACTAAAATCTCCCAGACGCAAATTTTGTCAAAATAGTAAAAATGGTTGTTAGCTTCGCTAGGATTGGCACAGAGAAGCGGCTTGGTATAACTTTGTTACCACGTATCATTCCTCGATTACATCTTCCTAAGATAATTGATGAAGTCGGTCACACCAATCCATTACCAACATTGAATTCATCTGTTCTTTCCCCGCAGGAACTCGGTTGGAGACCAGATGGCGAGGCCCCGCAGGACGTACTCCGAGTCACAACTATCGAGTCCCAAATATCGCTTCAGAGAACTGCTCAGGCGATTTACAAGAACCGAAAACCACTGAGATATGTAAGTATATTAGCTCAATTACTTTTTAAATGCAGGGGCGGCATTCCCCCCCCCCCCCCTGTATCAACGTGCCTCAAATTGATTCAGTCACTGGCTCAGATTTGTACAAAACGGCTTCGGCTCCCTATCTTCACGGAAAAGCTGTAACAAACGCTGACAATTTTAATATGATGGATCTGGCATACAAACAAACTTTGCTTGCCGGGTTATTTATCTGATTTGTAGAATTATAGTCAATGCTGGCACCCCCTGGTAGCAGTCAAAGAAAGTACCGATATCTATTCGTATCGTAGATAAGGTTACATCGAAACATTCTTCGAGTAAAGTGTATTGCTTGAGGACACTGCACGAACAGTCAATAGTACACATAGATTCAGGTCAATATACGCAAGGACTATAATTATTCACGGTGAGAAAGTGAAATGAAAGTCACAGTAACAAATTTCCTTCGGTGACAACCCTAGTTCACCAAATTGTTAGAAACACAGGTCGTATTCCTAATGGGACACTGTGTTCCATCAAGTAAATCCTTCGGATGTGAGCCAAGTAAATTGTAGGTGAAAGGCAACGGAAGTGCCTTCGCGCCATTTAGGTATAGGCAGCCAAGGGATTTGAACTTGCTTAATCAGAAGTGAAGGCACTTGCGAGGGAAGCACCGCTATTCTGTCAAGGAAATGAAAAAAAACTACAAATAAACAACCAACTCTGAGTTTGGGATATGAGCGAGGTGATTACAGGCGACTGCCTTGAGAGTGCAACAACTGAAAGTCGACGTGGAGATCTCTCAGCTCACACTTCAACTCCTTTGCATTAGACATTGACTGCGACACTTACGGGGAGGGGGGCATATCAAACGCTGAGTAACTCTCGTGCTATCTTCAAACCAACCGGTTCTCGTGATATACGTGGCTCTTGTATTAAAGTTGGAGATGGTTGGACGCTTTGTGACACTTCGTGGCAGCAGACTTAGTTCTTTAAAAAAACTTCTGAACAATAATAAGTTTTCTTCGACCCTTGTCGGGTTCACACCGATGCCACATTCAACGGTCTTTTTGAGGTTGTGTTTCCACCAAATCAAACTACATTTTCTGTTTAAATCTGCTTGCTCCAAATACCGTATTATAGTGTGCGATGTGTGTACGTAGATGGTTGCAAATATAGTAGATCTGGTTCAAGGAAATGTTTCAGTTTTCCCCATAACACTACTAGAAAACTTCTTGAGTTTATAACCAATTACCATGAGTTTATAACGCTTGACGAGTGGGGAAAAACTGGTAATTCAGCAACACGTAAACCCTAGCAGGTATAGTACAGTAACCCTGAAGACGAAACACGCCTGGTTGTCAAAAACGGCCCAAACGGTGATACATTCAGAGGTTTTGTTTGAGTCAATCTCAAAAACTGGATTCTTTTAAACACTCTCAAATTTCGAGCCGCTGAGCGTACGAACGGGAAATTGCAGGTGGATTTGAGCACCTGCCGCAATTGCACGGTGCAATTGGCGTCAGAGTTCCGCTCGTTTACCCCCCTCACGCACGGGTTGACTTACCCGAAAGAACACTCTAACAGGTTGCGGTCACTGTTGACTTAAAATCACAATGAAGTGTACACATCCGCTCTCTGCCGGGTGATAACGCTTATTTTATTTGCAAAAATATTGTTCTTGTGCCCTAAAACTAAATCGAGTTATGTTTTTTTGGCTGCATGCGCATCTTTCTTTGTTGGTTGCCCCTGTGGGAGCGAAACGGAGGGCGGTTGGAATCACTGTGTCGTTGAAAAAATAACATTAACTTTTTTAATGGGATTCCGTAGGCGGGTTTGTTAAACGTTCTGCACAAACCCGTATTTGCCTGGTGATTGTTAACTGTTTGTGCAATGCTGAACGGCGATTGAAGGGCAATTACAACATGTAAACATGCAAACAAAGCGTTCTTTTATTGCCACGTGAACCAGGAAGAACATGTGCCAAAAGAACATCAGTCTTTGGAGGGGATTGAAGTAACACGGTTTTGGGGGCCAAAAATACTTTTGTTTTCAAGAGGGGAAGGGGTGCTAATATTTATATAGTGTTCGAAAGTGAAGCGCATTTAATAAAGCAAAATGTTTGAGGTGTATGGCCCACCAATGGCTGTTGGATATGCCATCGGCTAGACCAATAATGTCTAATATAGTTCATGCTAATGCTTTTTTTTTCAAATTGACTTCCATGTTTTTTTGCTCTCATATACTAACATGCGTATCATTTTAGGGAGAAAAAAACACTTTGGACAATTTTGTTTTGCCGCCATAGTTGTCCAAACATGCCGTTTAATTTAGTAATTGATCAGAAATTACAGATGGTTTCTCCAAACAAAGCCAATCTGGACGTTTTAAAATTGTGATCGCTCCCATTAGGTAATTGCAACTCAAAAGCATCTCATTATGAAATTGCATGCATATACCTCAATTTCTTTCGCATATTAGCTCCTGCATTTATTAGCGTTTTGTGAAGACGTCACTTCGCATGGCTTGTCTAAACGGACACATACGGGCTTAATTTTTGGAAAGCTATCTGGCGTTACATCAACTGATTTTCTTTTTAATACTCATCAAACTAATGTTATCTTGTCTTTCTTTTCTTGTGTTTCCATTTCCAGGGCCAGCAACGCACGCAGTCTTACTTTCTACGGCAACAAAAACGTCTGACTTTCCGACCCTGGAGCTGGCACTCTGACAGATTCCGTCAAGACACTTTTCCTGTCCAGTGATTTTTGTTCTTCTGTTCTGCTCTTATTCATTCCCCATAAAATTTGGTTATTTTTTGTGGTTTAAAATGGAAATGGTATAGCTGCAGCCACGGAGGAAGCTGTTCTGAAAGTATCCTCGTCTGATGAATTCAAACCACGTTTAATGGTCCTCCGAGGGTAGAATACAATGCACCGTCATGCATTAATGCAGGCCTTAAAGTACGCGCTTAAAAACTGAAAGTGTATACGGACGACATTATTGTATTGGGTTATGCTGGTAAATGTGATAACTTTATTACGCGTACATTGGGTTAAACAGCTGCCGAAATTTGACAGAGCAGTAGATTGTTGGCCAAGAAGCGAGTCTGTCTCGCAATATGTGCTTCTGAAAGCTTGCCAACGATTTTATTCCCAGAACTAGAACCTTTGCAAAGAAAGGGAGAAATAAAAGGTAGGCCCTAGTAGCGAAAAAAAGTTATTTGACTTTTGCCTAAAACAGGTATGCGCATGCTCGAATTTAATTGAAAAAAAAATGAATAGCTGATCTGTTTGCTGCCCCCAAGAGCCTGAGTTTTATTGACCCGAGGAGATGTTTCTGCTGAGAAGTTTTGATCAAAATGACATTCCACTAATTTTAAAAATATTGTACCAGCACCGTGAATTATACCCGTTTTGCTATAGATGAACCTATATTATTGCAAAAAAACTTTTGTTGAACGTTAACTTCGAACAGATGTGTACATACGCTTGTAATAGTAAAAACAAATATAGTTTAAGATGATTTATTTTGTGTATAATCAATACAAGAGAAAAGGGAAACGAAACAGAACTCCTTTAGATGATTCAAAAGGCCCTCGTTGCACTATGATGTAAGGATTTTCGTATCTGCCGCTTTGCTAAAACCGTCCCCATTACAGACGACAAACCAACGTCTATCAATGCAAACACTATAGGAAGATGTACTTCATAAGGGGATACACAAAACTACCATACGGTGTATGTCTTGTAAATATTATGTAACAAAGCTATATTTGGTTTGGTTTAGAAAATCACCTTGAATAATAAATCACACGTTGCGTCAGCTAGAGGTGAATTATGAACTTGACTTATTAACATTGAACTTCAAACTCTGTAGTTATTTTCTGATTCTGTTCATCAAAGTTTCTTGAGGTTTTAAAAATCCAATAAAACTGTATTAATTCTTGAACTTGATTTTGATTGTTAGGTCCCAAAGGCTTGTGTGCTATAAATCTGGTTAAAAAAAGTTTAAAATGTTTCAAGCATGCGATGCAATCATCTTTAGTATTAAACAGGCACATTAGGAAACTGACTGTCATAAATAGTGAATTTCTTTGTTGACGAGCCGCATTAATTGAATAAATTATGAACCTCGCCTCCAAAAAAATTGCGACGGGATGTACTTTATAAATTTTGACGTTCTAGATATCAGTCTGGGATTTACATGTCACCTTCTAAAAATCAGGGGATGTCGGAGAAACACGCTTTGCCACGCATTGCGTCTTAACATCGTTGATAAAAGTTTCTAAATCATTCATTGATGTACAAGCCAACTTCCATATCGTAGAGCAGCCATGACTGTAGGTATCCTGATATCCTAATGTTATACGTGCATCAAGATGTGTTTTCCCACACTAACACTCATAATAATCATTAAAAAAATCAACCTGACATTAAACGTTAAGTAGATCCGCCGACACAAAAAAAATATCTTATGTTATTTATGATTTCTAGAGCTAGGGTTACTTACGGTCACTTTAACAGTTGTGTTGCTATCAGCTTGGTAATGCACTAACATTGTACTGTCTTTCTTTCTTAGAGATAAAGGACACTGATTGACGTTGACCGTACAGCTTCTGTGTAGTGTACCAACCCGTGCACACAATGTAGAAGTTAGTATGCGAGCAGTGAAAGCGTAGAATGTTACACTATTATATCAATGCGCTTGTAAATATGAAACCTACAGCAGTCAGATAAAAGAAAATTATCGTAATTAACAATCATTCATTATTCTGCACATTTTGCACCAACTTCGAAGGGCCACCCATAGAATTCGTAGTTGACAGAACAGTGTCGTAATAAAATCATGAAAATTTTGATGATAATAAAAGACAGTACAGCAGTTTTTCACGGGTCCTTGTGTACAATATCCTGAGGCTGTTTTCAAGTCTAGCGGTTTTCAATTTTAAAGCCAAAGTGCACTGTGTATTTCGATTGGTATAAATGTCGCCCTTCGGAATTCCTTGGGCCATAAAACCCGCGAGGCATGACGTTTAATACAATAAGCATACTGTTGATATATCACGTGACTGAGATAGTTCACGTGGCTACAATCAAAAAATATCAAAATCAAGACTATCGTACTTTGAAAATTGGAACAAATCTCATTTTTATTTAGGAAAAAGGTATCGCAATTTTCGAGGTTTTTTTCTTTTAACTACGTTACTAATGTTTGGGTACTATTTTACGCATGATTGGTTTATTAGTGACTATTATAAGTGGTACGAGATACGAATGCGGCTCGTGGTGTTTTTATTGCAGCACACATCGTCAATGGATCATGATTATTCAGCTAGTTCGATAATTATTCATAAGAAAATAACATTGACGTCACACCATTGCTATCACTCAGTAATGCATGTACCTTAAAGCATTTCAAAGAACGGCTTTCGTCGAGCTGCCACAGTGACCTAGTGGATAGTGGAATGAACTATGGACCGCAAGATCTGTGGTTCGAACCCATGCCCATTTTCAACAAATATTTTTGTTCGTTGGAATAGGTTTAATTGAACGGAAAACACTATACGAGAACCTAAGTGTCTTCCATCCACACAGAGTGATAAATATTCATGTTAGGTTGCGTGATGTGATTGGTTAAAATAAAGAAGTATGCTGCAAAAAAAATACGCATGCGGCTCGGAAAACGTTGCTTGTTAAACCGCCATTTTTGTGTGCAGCTGTTTCATGTAGCAGATGACCACACAAATTTGTGATATAACCAGGTAGTTTTTTTTCCGAACCGCTAACGTATCTCGTACCCGCTCATTTTCTGTTGGTCCCTACTGACAAAGCACAAGGGTGGAGAAAAAAAAGAGTGGGAAGATACAAGGAATTGGAATTCCAAAGATATCGATGAATCATAACTTAACTGGAAATGTGTCCTTCACAAAAAAAAATTCATGCAATTTTTTCAAGCATTGTACGTCACCTATATACACTATATTTCATGGGCTTGAAAAGAATTAATAAAAAGGCGGTAGGGGGGAGATATGTCTCACGTTGCGACTGGGTGTATACCGTGTTATAAAAAGGCTGCGGACATTTTGTAAGATGCTAAGGTGACAAGCTGTGTTACTTCCACTTAACAAAAATGTCAATTAGCAAAATGGGAAATGTGAGAATTGTGTTTGAGGATCACATGGCATAATTTTCGCAATCAACGCCAAAGCACGTAATGCAAGTTGGCAATTCAAATCACTTATTCAATACGATTCTGTGATTTGTTATTGGGGCAACGAATCAGAACATGGTATGCTGGTTACCCTTCCAGGGTCCACAACTATATGGAAGTAAAGAAAACTGAGAACGAGGTTGAGTCAGACCATGACACCTGCCTTAAGCCACAGTAGCCAAGATTCTATCGACCTCCTCTCTGTTAAAAGTGCTCTGGAAATTGTTGTTCCGTAGGCGACGCATAAGTGGCTGAGGTGACACTGTACGAGAGGCGAAGTCACTGTGGCGTTTTGTTGGTGTTAAATGGTGAGAGAAAAGCGTGAGATGTGATGAGTACTGGGCGATTAGACATCCTCAGAGGCGAACCAAGCTGATATTAAGGAGGGGAGAATAAAAAGTGAGGGGCATCAAGTTGCAGCGCGATTGGGTGAGTGTGTTTGATGCCGAGCGTATACGTGACGCGGTGACGCACTACTCAATATCGAAGTGACAAGCCTGATTAAAGTGATACCGTCCGCAAGATCACAGACACGTTTTGTTGAGGCGGGGCTCGGCTTTTTGAAAACAGCCGCTCAGACGGAAAATCTGAACAAGAGTTAAACGATTATTAATTAAACCGTTCGCAGTCGGGCGGCAAGGGTAAGGGCATATTGGGACGCTCGGTTGGAGACCATTTTAGCACTAATATGCTTCTGGGTGTATGCTTCTCTTGGTTGAGCACTTTTCTGTCAAGGGTAACTTACACTTTCATCACTCTATGAAAGGAAAGGTTGTATGTTTGCCACATTGCTAAAGTTTTATCTCCTTTCAAACTCTTTTCACTAAATGTGCCGTAACAGTGCCACATAACTTGTTGAAATGAAGTTGTCATCATCGTGAAGTATTATTTCAGGATTATGACGATATCTCGAAAATAGGTGACGTCATATTTTGATATGTTACCCTGACGATGACGACAATCACCACGGGATGACGACACCTACCATATGAGATGACGAAAGACTGAGATAATTTATCGTAACACGATAACACCCAGAAAAACAATAATGGCTTACGACGATTGTACCTGTATAGCTGATTAACCAACGGGCCTACTTGGCCCTCGCTTAGGGGCTCCCACGCCCGCAACATTTCGTCTTTTGGTAGAGGGAATAAAGGTTTCCACATTTTGAGAACGTACACTAGCTGTGCAAAATATAAACTCAGGTATGCTCCAGTGTGATTGAAATAACAGAAAGTTAAAATATTCACTTGATTGAAGTTAAGGCTGGTGTCCCACATTCCTCAAACCCTTGGACACAAGGGTTAATTTGAATATGGACCCTTACGTCTGCAGAGTGCATAGAATCAACAAAGACCTTCGCCCAATTGGCGTTTTGAAAAAAAGTGTGAAAATTAAGATAAAAAACCCGGAGCCAACAGCATCAACGTAATGTAACGTTCAAAATATTTTTCTATTCATTTTATTCATATCAATCGACTCGCATTAAACGGTTTTCCATTTCATGAAATAATGATGATAATGATAACAACACCACCAGTCCACCACCGAAAGCGGTACATTAGGGTGACACTCCAATAAACTTGCTTATTCCTTGCAAAACTTTCCAATTATCCTATTTTCGTCTTAAGGAATCGTTTAGGCAACTTGCGACCATACACTCTAAACTGTGTGTATAGCAATTATATAATCTGGCTGTCACTTCGTAAACATGTTTAGATGCTAAACATTACGTGTCCAGTTCCTAAACATCATTGTTCAATTGCTAAACACTATCCATCAATACTCTAAACAGGTTTAGGAAGTAAACATGTTTACAAACTGAGATGAAAGCAAGAAAGTGTTAAGAAAAGTGTTCAATTGCTAAACACAGTTTTTGCAGTGTGAATTTTTTTTTCTAGAAATGGTAGTTCAAACATTAGGGAGGGAGACAAACAAAAATCAACCTAATGAAAATTGTCTCCCTAATGTCAAATAATATACTAGAAAGGGTTTCCCTAAAGTACCATTTGTTTTTGTCAATTCGAGAAAAATATGGTTGTGCTGTGGGCAGCTAACGTCATAGCGGAGTAGAACGGCGTAAACTGCGCTGAGTGCAATGCACAAATGAAAAATGCCTTTTAGTGGGGGCAATATCGAAAAAACATTGCTTGACTTTTACCTTTACATCAGGTCATTGCGCCTTGTTTCGCAGATTTATAGGTACGGAGGTTTTATTTGTTGATAGCTTTGATGGAACAAAAGGTTGGGGTTAATGACATCAAAAATACACCCCTGTTAGAGTGGGGTTAGATAAAACAAAAATGCACTCAACAGAATTGAAGTTAGAGAGATGGGCACACATAACACAAACGAGCAGGCAGATACGAACTCTCTGACGCAAATCGTTATAAAATGCAACACTTAATATCGCATTACCGCAATTGATGCGAGGCTCAGCAATTCTTATCAAGAATGAAAGTTATGATTTGCGTTTTTAAGAATGCGATAACGGCTATTTGATGAAGGCACTGCAAATGGGTATTATGATGAAACGAACCTTATTATAGACGTATTGAACCTTATTATAGACGAATTTTGCTAAATACTAAGTCTTCATTGCATGCAAAATAAACGGTGTTTTACCAATGCCTATGAGAATCTGAACACCAACGGGAAGAGTGTTATTGAAAATAACCCATTGCATGCTGAAAGCTAACTTAACCATCCATGACAAGTGCATTTTTGAATGAGCGAAATGTATTGCTTTATGCCCGTAATAAGTGTATGATGTTATATCAATCAAAATCTTTCATTACTGTTATTAATTTCAAAGTATGGAACCAAGTTCAAGTTACTGGGACACGTTGACCCAGCAATAAATCAAAAGTGGAAGCTCTTTTTCTGGAAGCAAGCACTGGCGACTCCCGAGGGGTGTTTGTACGAAACAGTCTGAAAGCGGTCAAAGACAATCGTTAGGGTTCCCAGACAATCATCAAGCAGTCGCAGACAAATGGAAATCAGTCGCAGACAAATGGAAATCAGTCGCAGACAAATGGAAAGTAGTCGCAGATTACCATCCACCAGACACACACGAGGGTAATACAGTCACAAGAGAATTTGGTAAGCGGTATTAACGAAAATTCGGCGAGCGGTCGCAGAAACTGAAAACCAGTCACAGACAATCGGTAGGTAGTCGCAGACAATTGGTAAGCAATCGTAGAGAATGAGCAAGTAGTCCTAACAGTTTAAGTTGATCGGCAGTAAATTTCAACCAATTGACACCACGTACGAAACCCTTCCTAACAAAGACACAAACAATCGACACAAAGTCACAGAAAGTTGAAAAACTGTTCAAAAAATTGACAACCAACCACATTCGAATGACAAACAGTTAGAGACTCCCCCGCAAATATTTGAAGATAACGCATATTTTAACGTTATTATGATGTCAACACTGTCAGGGCATTCAATAGCTTCAGGAGTCACAGAAATTAATCAGAATGAAGACCAAGAAACGGGGTCGACAATCCGCCGTCCGTCCTCCATCATTCTCTGAAACCAAAGCCGCAAGAGGGATATCCTCGGCAAAACCTTTCAAATTGGTGTCATCTTTAACGTGGACGAGCCAAAGCGACAGACACGGTTCGTTGTTCTGATCCAGACAGAGGAGTTTGAGATTTACACAG